GAGCATCAACCGAATGTGTTATAATTCTGTCTGATTCGGCCAGCTGTCTTTCGGCGATAGAGAGTGGTAGATCGCAGCATCCGTAGATCCAGGAAATCGAGCGCTTACTACGTGGACGGCCGATCCACCTTTGTTGGATCCCTGGTCATGCCGGAATTCACGGTAACGAAGAAGCAGACCGTCTAGCCAGTGAAGCACGAAACAGTCCACCAATCAACGTCGCCGTACCAAGGATTGATTCCATCAAGAACATGAACCAAGTCTTTCGTCAGCTATGGGAAGCACGTTGGGCACAATTGACAGATGTGAAGCTGAAGGAGGTCAAAAGGGAAACGAAGAAGTGGATCGATCAGTTCAGCTCTGCCGATCAACGCATATTCACTCGTCTGCGCATTGATCATACTACACGAAACGAAAATCAATTATTTAATTCATGTGTTTCACTTATACATTTTTGCCAGAGTATCAGCCTTATACATTCCATAAGACAAACCACATAGGTCCTATTAGAATGCATTAAAGGTATGTGTGACCGCTTATACATTTCATTTGACACATGATCTTTATTAACTTTTTGCAAGGCGTCTGCTTATTAATTGACTTATACATTTTATGAATAATCAGCAATGGAAATTTGCCAAAAGGTATACGGAGATTTCTATCCGTGTAGGGTTAGGCATAACTTTTTGCTGAAGAAAACAGCTCCGCCAGCATGTGAATGCTGTGGGACCGTTGTTGACGTTCGTCACATTATTCTGCACTGCAGAAAATTTGAAGCGGCCAGGACGAAATACGGAATCGATTCCACAAGCCTTTTTACGGCGTTACGCAACGACGATGATTATGAGAAGCGGTTGCTGAAGTTTCTGCATGAAACCAAACTTTATCGGAAGCTTTGAAGGGCGAAGATAGAATGGAAAGGAAAATGCAGGATATAGGAAGAAAACGAAGCGGAGGATGAAGAACAAGCAAGCGATGCAGAAGAAAAACGAAGTCTGAATGGAAGAAGATGTCGGACAGGAAATGGAAGAAGATGCAGCGGAAGAATGTTACCAATGAATGTTGGAAGCAAATGAGTTCATGAAGAAGATGCTGAATGGAAATCGAAAAAGATAGAGTGAAAAAGGATGAAGATGAAGCCGAAAACGAAAGTACTACAGAAGACATGAATGAGTATGAAGATGCAGAAGAATGAAGATAAATATGAAGCGCAAGGAAAGAACGGAGAAATCGAAAAATAATGTGGAAAAGATATATGGAAGATCATGAAGAATGAAGATGGTGAATATATATATAGAAGAAGTAAAGAAGAAATTTATGGAGAAGAAGTGTAAACCATGAGATGAGCATGCAGACGATGAACCAGGAAACGAGCAAACGATAAGAAACCTAAGTGAATTTTGAATTGTATCGTAAACACTAACACTCACCCTCACATCACTCTGAACACACCCACACACTGTTTACACAAAAACCAATTCAACTGACATGAATGCATCAGCAGGATGTAAAATGTCAATAATAAAGAACAACAACAACAACAAAGCCTGTTTTTGTTGATTCAAACGCCTTAATTTCCGCGCATCGTATTCAGACCAATCGGTCTTCCATACTCTCCTCGTACCTAGAAGACGCCACCCTGAGCTATCAGCGTCCTTTTCCTTGTTCAATTCTACCTCCACACTGGGGTGTAAGTCGGGAGAAGATGGTAGCGATGCAGTATGGCGTGCTATGTTGGCAGACAGCGTCTTCACCTCATCGAGTATTTCAAGCTCCAACATTGAATTTGTTTGCATTGTGCAACTTGCCGCGGTATCTAAAGAGAGCTGGGTGAGATGGCTAATCTCATCATTTAAGCTACGTAGGTCTGTTGATAGCGCTGACGTCACCGATTCGACCGCCACATGAACATTCTCCTTTGTTCAAAGCGAGGTGAAAGTTGAAGTAAGTGAAAAATCAAATCTGTTTACAATTCCAAATGAAGTGAATTTTTTGCGAATTTAGATTTTCACGCTGGTGAAAAATGTAGTATTTTGTATGAGATTTGACCTTTAAGCGGTGAATGGAAACCTAATAGAAAAATTTCAAAAAGGTTATATCTGCTCTATGCTTCACCGACTTTTTCTTTCGTTAAAAACTCAACTGAAACAAACATTTCCTGCTGTGTTTGACGTTTTGCTTCTAGATCATATCTTCTGTAGCAAAAATAGCAAAAAATGCATAACAGTGCATAGAGAATGTCGATGAAGAGAATCGATCATTGCTGATAGGATCTTTTGAAATGGTCACCTAGATTCAGTGTTCGGAAAATCTCAAATAGTAAAATTTCACGCTTGAGATTATTCGCTTATGAGTTTTGTCTTGCGAAATTTAACTGCGCAAAAATCACAGATGAGTTTTCAGGTTCAAACATTAATTGCTTATATTTTGGTGTTATTAATTGTTATTAGCGTTGTTTTTGTATCAGTGGATGGAAAACTAACAAAACATGCATAAAAATGCTTTCAATTGACGTTTGAGCGGTTTTTATAAGTTTAAACTGTAATGATTTGTTTGTCGTTGTGAGTTTGAGTGCGTGAAAATGCATGAGAATCTCAAGCGTTACATTCGCATCATGCTTGCAATTGCTCATTACAGCTAAAATTCTATTTTTCGGTATTATGAAACAATGGGATACTATAATAATAATTTTTATTTGTAAGATGCAAGAATAGGTGGTAAAGTTTGTATATGACACATAAAATTTGTCAATTTTGCTTTCAGAAGGTCACAATTAACGATTTTATGATCGCTGATTGCTCGCTCATCGCGTTATTTGATGCAAAATATTAGTGTTTGAAGTCTCAGAAAGGTCTAAAAGTGTGAAAAAAGAGTTGGCGTAGATTGTGAAAATAAAAATAAAAATAAAAAGGAAAATGGCGAGAAGCAGAAGGAACCGGATGGCTGAACGACGGTGCAATACGAGAAAAAAAACAAACGGTTGCGTCCTCTGCGTAAGATGGCCGAAAGACGAAAAAGAAGGAATGGATGGTTTGTCCTTCAAAAAAAGCTAAGTACAATAGTTTTTGTGTTGCGTTAAATGTAGAGGGTGGGTTTAGTCGGGAATGGGATGCAGATTTTCCGGAAAAGCTGCAGCAATGTGGGTGACGTTTCCTCGAATTTGGGTGGAATTTTGCTCATTTGTATGTGGATACACTTTTTGCGCTTTTTGAGTGAACTGATATGAGCACACTGATAAAATTTCAAAGATTATTTTTATGTGCCCCACACATGAATTTTTGAAATGTGATCAACGAATTATATCTATTTGTCAAACGCATACTTAATATGTGTACACATAAAAGCCATGTGTAACCAAAAAAACTATTCTTTTGACTAATAAATTTTATGTGTGCTTCTGGGTGGATTCTGTTTATGTGTGGTCACATAAAAAATCATGTGGAAATTCGTCAGTAAAAATGTGTGGAATTGTATTAGTGTAGCATTTTTTGTCCGAGTATAGAATGGTAGAGATAGGCGAGACAACAACCAATTGAAGCGTTTGTTGTAATGCCATCTAGTGTCAATTTAAAAAAAAGTATAGATGTAATGATAGTACACGACTAGAAAATGGTTCCCAGCGACCAGTTCACTTTTCCTTACTTTTGATAGTATGTCTCCTTTTCTCCTTCTAATGTTGCCAAAAACAATGAAAATTAATGAGATAAGATTAAATTTGTTCGTTTGTGGTTGTGTATGAAAAAACTGATTAAGGTTGTGTTGATTCTGCCATGGTTATTGTATTTGGTGGGCTTGTTCCAGTTATGTCGCTTTCGTTATTGCGGTGTAGCACCGGTGTAGTGTAAACAGGAATAAGCGCGAGTCTTTGACAGCTTAACATCATTAGTTTTTAAACAAAGGTACATCCTATATCAACACCCTATATTATTTCAGTGTACAGCAGTGTAGCACCGCAAAAACGAAAACGAAATAAATTTCGTATAATTTGAGTGCATTACATGAACTTAAGTTTACTTTAATTGATTATAATTAAAATTGAAAAGACATAGAGGTTTTGGACCTACGGGAGAAGAGGTAGTAAAATTATTTTCACTCCCGCGAGTTTTCCTCTCAATCAATAGAAAAAAAAGATAAAATACAACATATTTCCTTCCTTTTAATTAGCTACGGGTGTGACAACGATGGCGAGTTCACTATGTTATATTTTCATTTTATTTCAGCAACCTTATCTTCCAGCAGATGATCCGGACAGCAATTTCAACATTAATAAAAAAAAACTATATATGCCAGCAACACTGACTGGGTGTATCCTATGGCTTACCTTCCCTACTAACATAATTCTTAAATTCCCGAGACATTTATGAGGGGTCGTAGAGTTCTCTGCATCTCTCTTAAGTAAATGTTGGACTAACATACCTTTCCTATCCCTACCAGTTGTAAGGACGTGGCCAGGACAATCCTTAACTGTTGGAGCGGGATATGTCGTTATCTGGGAGATAGTAATTACTTCCTACTTACTATCTGTCCAGTAATAGATATCCGTCTTGCTCTTAATAGTTTTGAATTCGTACCACCTACGATATTGTGCAACTTGTTCGATGCTAATGCTAATGCTAATGCTAATGCTAATGCTAATGCTAATGCTGATTGCTCGCTCATCGCGTTGCTCATCGTTACAGCTAATCTCTAGTTGTGCCCTTCGGAAAGCAAAATTGACAAATTTTATATGTCATATACAAACTTTACCACCTCTTCTTGCATCTTACAAATAAAAATTATCATTATAGTATCCCATTGTTGCATAATACCGAAAAATAGCATTTTAGCTGTAATGAGCAATTGCAAGCCTGATTCGCATACGAGCTTATTCTCTCGGAAGGGCTCAATGAATGAGATTTGAGGATGATTTTCCGAACACTGCCTAGATTTGATAATACGTTATTATATTGTATTTTCCTACTATCAAATTTTGACCTACCAAAACATATTTCTTCTTTTAGGGAACAACCAATATTCTCTTGCAATGCTCATGTATTCCATATCGACCCAAAAACAAAAAGGACATGGATTACAGCTAGCTCTAAAGCTATATCTGTAAGCTTTTTCTATGACTCTTCCAGGAATCTCTACCGCATCATTAGTGTAGAAGGAAGTAAGGTAAGAAATGTACAACTTAATGGCTTGTTCAGACTACAGAGCTATAAAATCGACAGTGAGCATGCATAAGGGCGTATACGCGATGATCGATTCTCTTCATCGTTTTTCTCTTTGCATTGCTACAGCTAAGCGAAACAATTTTGTAGAATTTGTTCAATGGAGAGTTGTAATAGGTTGTATTGGCTTTCAAAAGCAACAACAAACGCACCGACAAACGTTAAATCTAGCGAGTTATTAAGAAAAGAGAAAATCGATGAAGAGAATCGAAAATCGCGTATACGCCCTTATGAATGCTCACTGTCGAAATGTTACAAGGGCGTTATAATAATTATCGACAAGAGAAATTTCATCAAGATAACCCTGTAACATGTTACAATTCCGTAGTCTGAACATATCATAAAGGACTGATTGAGTGCGTGTCTAATAATGCCATTTTCAGACTTTACAGTATTAACATGTATTATAACATTATTATAAATGAACGACACGAAAAATGTCAACTGACGCGTTATAAGCCTATCTTGATGACATTTTTATTTTCATTAATTATTATATCATATTATAACTCTGTAGCCTGTAGTCTGAACGTGGTACGAGTTATTTTCTACATCCTTCTATGATTTGTTGATGGTTTTCGTTAAACGCTAGCCAGGCTGAACAGTTATAACGTGTTATAAGCCTATCTTCATGACATTTTTCTTGACATTTTATAACAATGTAGGCAAGGCATAGCACAGTTTTAAGTATATTTTGATGACATTTTTCTTGTCGATAATTATTATAACATGTTATAGCTCTGTAATCTGACCAATGCATTATACTATGTTCAGACTAAATTATTCTAATAAAAGCCCAATCTCAGTGTGTAACACACCAAGATAACCAGGCTTGCAATTGCTCATTGCAGGTAAAAATGTTGTTAGTTGGAATTATAAAACTATGAGATGTTATAACGATATTTTTTATTTGAAAGATGTACACACTTAGATTATTTTACCTAAATCTGTGAAATTTTAACTTAATGTCAACAGCTGAACGTTCGGTAAACAGTTCAGTGATTTTTCACAGATTTCTGTGAATATCTGTGAAAAATTACAGGAAATCTGTGAAAAACCACCGAATGTTCAGCTGATGAGATTTCGGTAAAATTTAACAGATTTCGGTAAAATAATCTTAGTGTGTAGGAAGAGGAGATAAAGTTTGTTTATGACACATAAAACCTGTCAATTTCGCTTACAGAGTGTCACAATTAGCGATTAGCTTTAACGATGAACGCTCACTTATCACGATTGCTCATCACAGCTAAAATCGCTAATTGTGTTCCTCTGAAAGCAACATTGACAGGTTTTATGTGTCATACACAAACTTTACCTCTTCTTATTGCATGTGGGAAAATGTTGTGGAATGAAAAAAAAATTGTTGCGTGAAAAGGAATTTTTTACGCAACAAGGAAAATGTTGCGCAACATGAAATAAGTTGTGCGAAATGAAAAATTAGCTACAACAGGCGCCACAAACCAATACTCTCATACTCAATATTCAAGCGACCATTGACTTAGGGGGTACACGACGTTAGGCATACGGTCGTTAGGCATACGGACGTTAGGCATACAGACGTTAGGCATAATGTACGATAGGCATAATGGACGTTGGGCATAAAGGACGTTAGGCATAATGGACGTTAGGCATAATCTACCCGATGAATTCCAGAAGGATGATAATGGGGATCGTCTATTGATTGCTGACTTCGGTGACAATAATGAAAGAGCCTTAATTTTTGGAACTCATGAAAACTTGAGACGTCTTGGACAGCAAAGTATTGGGTTACAGATGGTACGTTTGCCACAGTTCCTTGTTTGTTTCGGCAACTCATCACTGTTCATGGAAGTATCGCTCCCTCACATCAGCAGACGGTTCCGCTAGTATTCATACTGATGACAACAACAAAAGAATCGTTGTATCGAAAAGTATGGCAGGAAATCCTGGAAGCAGCAGGTATGTTTTTTTTTTTTGTTATTGAATGAAAAACCACAGAATTCACCATTCTTCATTTCTTGAGCTGTTCTTTGGCATCATATTTTATTCAACCTCAGCTTTTTTTTTTGTTATTGAATGAAAAATCACAGAATTCACCATTCTTTATTTCATGAGCTGTTCTTTGAGGAAAACCTTTTCTTCTTTGACAATTGCAATATGTGTGTAAGAATATATTACAACAAATGTTTTTTTTTTTTTATTTCTAGATACGATTGATTTCAAGATATAGTTCAAAACTATGCTGAGTTTTCATTGCCAGTTTACTTAACCGCTATCGCTACTAATCTTGGATCTAAGTAAATATGTAGCTACGTCACTTATGATATGATAAATAATGGATTCCAAACTGTGCTTGTTTGTTTAACTTGTATCATTTTTTTATTCAACGGTTAGCCTAATTTAAGCATTGTTATCATGCTCGAAACAGGTTTCTAGAGTTTCACAGCAGCAAGGTATTTTATGCCTAACGTCCATTATGCCTAACGTATATTATGCCTAACGTCAATTATGCCTAACGTCCATTATGCCTAACGTCCGTATGCCTAACGTATTTATGCCTAATGGGGTACACTCGACTTAGGGTGGTGTAGTTTTTAATTTTCCTTAATTTGTTTTCCGTCGATCTTGTTTTCCGTGCTGAGCACCAATGCTACCGAGGCCAGGGAGACAGCTCCCACACCTTGACCCTACCTATCGACCCATCAACTCATGAACCAGGGAACCAACGGCTTTACTTCCCCCCGAAAGAAGGCGTGATCAGAGATGTTATGCCTCAGAACATCCCGTCGCCAGGGAGGCAGCTCCCACACCTTGACCCTACCTATCGACCCATCAACTCATGAACCAGGGAATCGACGGCTTTACTTCCTCCGGAAAGAAGGCGTGATCAGAGATGTTATGCCTCAAAACATCCCGGCGGCGCCGACTGGGATTGAACCCATACCTGCTGGGGTGAGAGGTAATCACGCTTATCACTACACCACCGGTGCCACTAAAATTGGAAGTTATCTTTAATGAAATATTGCCTAAGTAGTTCAGAAAATGTTTCTTTTTATTTCATGACTTCAAAATTTTTAACCAATAATCTTTTTAGGAGATGCACAATTATGCTCAATTTTCAATCACAATTACCGTAATTACTTTTTACCGATAAACCTAAAAAATTTCCAACCATATGTTTGAAACAGAACACCTCTCAAACTTGTGCAAATGCTTCTTCTAATGTACGTGTTTAGCTTTTAAATTGCAAGTTTATTTATTTTATTTTATTTAACTTAAATTAGACTAAAAATGCAAATTATATGTTCTGGGATGAAGCTGATGATGCAGGCTTTTATTTATTAGTCGTCAATCAGTTTAGACCGTTTTACAGTTTTACTTAAACGCTAATTGTTACAATTTTACTTCAATTACTTGCATAGCATTTATATTTTATTATTGATGCCTAGCTAACCTCGTGAAGAAAGTTTTTTTAAGCGTACTTTTATTCATTGTTATGTCAATATATTCACAGTATGTATTATAGCAAGACATCATTCTATTCAATGGGCTGTTTTTGGCATAGTCTGTTCTTTGATTGTTGATGCTAAATAAATTTCTATTCCGCAGTGAGCGAGTGGGAGCATAAAAATTGATATTTTCCAAAATCTCTGGACTGTTAACTCTTTGCGAAATCACATCGTTTATAAAAGCAATCATTGCGAACTCTCTTCGCTTTTTGAGCTCATCTAAATTAATTAGCATACAACGCGATTCATAAGATGGAAGTGGAAAACTCGTCCAACCCAACTTTCTTAGAGCGAACAACAAGAACTGCTTTTGAACTGATTCAATGCGGTTTACATGTGTATCATGATATGGAGCCCAAACTATGCTACAATATTCGAGAAGAGGCCTCACATATGCTACGTAAAGTGTTTTGATTGTGTAGGGATCATTGAAGTGCAAACTAAATCTTTTAATGAACCCGAGCATGTTGCTTGCTTTGTAGATAATGTTATTGTAGTGATCAGCAAAAGTTAACTTGGAGTCGAGGATAACACCTAAGTCTCTGACTTGATAGGATCTTTGGATTGTTTTCTGGCCAAGAGTAATTGTGTCGTGTATTACAGCTTGCTTTCTTGTGAACGATATAGAATTGCATTTATTAATATTTAGTTCTAACAAATTTTTCTTACACCATGTGTAAAAAACGTCAATTTCTTGTTGAAATATTTGAAGATCAGGTGCTTTAGATATCTCCATGAAAAGTTTCATGTCATCAGCATATATAGAAACATGAAGAAATTTAAAAATATGTTCTATATCGTTGACAAATAAAATAAACAGTAATGGACCAAGATGTGAACCTTGTGGCACACCAGATGTTACATTAACTATGGTGGACAGATTTCCTTCAAATCTTACCTTTTGCGTCCGCCTTGATAAGTACGACTCGATCCATTTCAGTAGCCTAGGACTGAAGCCTAATTTGGATAGCTTAAAAAGCAAGAGTGGTATATCAACTCTGTCAAATGCTTTACTGAAATCAGTATATAGCGTTTCTACATAATTTCCTTTATCCATTGAGTTTAAACAGTATGACACAAAATGTATCAAGTTGGTAGTTGTAGATCGTCCTTTAACAAATCCGTGCTGTTTGCTAGTAATTACCGACCTCATCTGTAAGAATACATTGTCATTAATGATGGATTCGAATAATTTAGGAATGCTTGATAATATAGCAACTCCACGGTAATTTTTTACATCAGACTTTTTACCACTTTTAAAAATTGGAATTAAAAATGATTCCTTCCAAATCGGAGGAAGTACACTCGACTCCAAGGATAAATTAAACAGCCAGAACAAAGGTTTTGCTAGCTCCTTCGAAAGTGACTTTAAAAAAATAGGTGGTAAACCATCCGGTCCAGCACCTTTTGAAGCATCCAAGGTTTCAAGACCACGTATAATTTCCTTGAGAGTTAA